CACTCCCGAATTCTCTACCTCCAGGCCCCCATTGGCACAGGGGGATGGGGAATGTGGGTTGGGGTCAGTTCATCACACGTTGTCTCTGCTGCTCCTTCCTTCTCCTGGGGAGGACTCCTCACTCTTCTGCTCTGGCATGGGGTCCTTCCCATGGCAGACAGTCCTTCACGAACTTCTCCAACCTGAGTCCTTCCCACATGCTGAAGTCCATGAACTGCTCTAATGCGAGTCCTTTCCACAGACTGAAGTCCTTCAGGCACAGACTGCTCCAGTGCAGGCTTTCCCATGGAGTCCCAGCCATCTTTGGGGTCACCCACCTGCTCCAGCGTGGTCTCTCCCGTGGGTCCCCCGCTCCCCTCCATGGGCTGGGGGGGGACAGCCTGCCGTCTCACCACGGGCTGCAGGGGCATCCCCTCCTCCAGTGCACCTCCTCCCACTCCTTCCTCAGTGACCTTGCTGTCTGCACAGGGGTTTCTCTCACATTCCAATCTCCTCCCTTGCTGCAGGTTCCCCTTCTTAAATACATTATCCCAGAAGCACTACCACCATCACTGAAGGGCTCGGCCTTGGCCAGTTGCAGGTCCAACTTGGAGCCAGGGAAGCTTCTAGCAGCTTCTCACAGGAGCCATCCCTGAAGCCCCCTCCACCACTACCAAAACCCCACCACACAAACCCAATACAGTGAGAGAGGAACAAAATAAAATGGATACAATGGTAAAAAAAATGCATATAAACATTCTCCTACCATTCCTAATGAAGGTGATTAAGTTACACATTACAATTATTACAGTTAAAAATCCATTTGGTTCACAAATACAGCATACAAATACTCTGATCTCAGCATAAACTAGCTTTCGCATTTTCCTTTCTAGAAGGTTCAAAAATCTAAGGTATAGGCTGTTAGAAGATTCTCTAATCAAATTTATTGGTAAAACAAATTTTGTCCAGATTATAATCATTCTATATACTCCTGTGTTTTGCAGCATCAGCACCACAAAAACAACAGCCTTGTAACAGAAATGAATAGAAATAACTGAAACTACTGTGAATTTAGAAATTAACCAGAATCCTACCACACTGTTTTGGTAAGTCTGGCTAATCCTTACTATCAATTTTTCAGTGTCTACTACAAGATACATGGTCACTTCATGAAGTCAGAAGTGAAAACTCCAGTTACCATGGAATCAGCCTGACCTCGTGCAAGTAGGAAGCTTGCTTCGCATAAAAGTTTTGAAAATTTCAGTAGAAGTGATTTGAGCCCTCTGCTTGCTTATGCCATCCTTCTAGCCAATGTCCAAAAGGCCCCTATATTTAACAGGCTCATCATCTGTACTAATAAGGTATGTCAGACACATAAAGAAGTATTTTACACTTTTACATAAAATTCTATCTCCAATCTGGCAGTGATGCTAACCCCACACTCCCACACCCCTGCCTGCCATACTACTATGATACTGGGTTCACTGTAAATCTATAAGAAGAGCTGAACAGAAAATATTAACTCACAGAAGTCCTATTTTTACAATACCACCACCGTTCAGTAAGTACTGATGACAAACTGTTTGCTTTTAGCTTCATTAGCTTCTTTAGCACATCAAAGAATAACCCTAATATCTGACAATAACATAATCAATACTAAAAAGGTCAGAAATTTGAGTACTTGGGGGAAAAAACCACAGATAACCAACAGAACTGGTCTTCTAATTCAGAAATGCCATCTGATAAGTCAAGTCACCATGCAAAAATTACATATTTTCAGTAGCATTAAAATGCCAGATTGCAGGAAGAATGGAGAAGACTGAGAAAAATCACAAATTAGCACTTAAAAACAATCAGATTAATCATGTCTCATCTTTACCATTACTGTGTCAATAATATGTTGAACACGTCAACTTCAAAAAGCTTTGATTAGTTGTTTACTCCTAGAAAGACTTCCAAAAGTTGGTTCTTTAGCTTTTCAGCAGCATAGGTCAATCAAGAACAATGTAAATGTAATCTACTTGATTTGTGTATTAGTTTTCAACCACAAGAAAAGGTGACCCAAGAAGGTGGACCTGGGTAGAGGAAATGTCAATTAAGAAAAAAAAAAAAAGTTTACTCTTCCACCCAAACACAAGTTTGTTTGGTTTTTTTTTAAAAAAAAAAAGCCTGATTTTCAGTCTTACTGTCATAAACATCACAGGCCTAAATATTAAGCTTTCAAATCATCCTAGTTACTCTGTAGCACCCAATTCTATGTGGAGTTCCTAATGAAATCCTTCTGTGCTCCTAATTAGTTTTGGATGCTGATTACAAAGCATAGGAAAAATGTAATTTTGTAGCACTAGGACAAATGAGGAAAAATAAATTACATACACCTGGGCAACAAACTTGTCTTCCCCTTCAAGAGAGGGGCACTTAAAACTAGAAGAGCTACCCAGCGCAGATGGTATGTTTGTTCTCACCTGAAAGGAGACCTCTTCTGACAGCTACAGATTAACAACTGTCAGTTTGCTGTTTGGTATGCCACTACTAGAGCTGTTGTGATGGAGACTTAAAAAAAAAAAAAAATCAGCTGGTGTGTACAGCTTAATTTGCACTCAAATCCATAATGACAATTATTTATGCTCCCAAAGGCTACCTACCTTGAAGTGTTCTAAGTTTCAGAGCTGTTGCCAAGATCTGCTGGATCCTGTAATAATACAAATACTCCCACTACCATTCTACTCTGATAATTTACAAATGTATGGACAACCATCAAGGTCATCTGCCGCATGGTGGGACTTCTACATGCAGAAAAAGAATGTGTGCACCACATTACCCTTCCATCTGTAGGCACTGTTCACATGTAAGATCAGTGCAAGCACAGATTTAGTTATACTGTTTCTGTTCCCTTCCAACCCATTCACTTCTGGTGGAAGCTGCAAAGGATGTAAATAGTGTCACACAACTTCAAAAAAAAAGCAAAGGTACAGCCTTAATGTGCTTCAAAACAATGATATTTATAACATGTATCAGCAAGAACTCTTTGACAATTTTTTTTCTTCAAAGTAACAAAGACAGAAATCTTCCCCCAACACGGGGCAAGGCTGATTAAGTTGCTTGTACAACAGCTACCAAATTGCTTACAGACAGCGTGGCTTTAAAAAAAAACCCAAAAAAACCAAGCCCTGTTTAGTTTAATATGCCATAAAACATGAGCTGAACCACTGCAATTTATGAAGCTTTAAAAGTCCCATTACCAGAGATTTTCACCCTAAGAGGAGGGCAGGGACCAGTACAGCCCTCCCCCATCCACGGTAAACACTCGGATGTTTCTACCTCTGTCTGCAGATGCCTGTTCCTAGAACACACCACAACAGAGAAGGAACTTAAGTCATTCCAGGTGATTAATGTGAGCTCTCTGAACACATCTACCCAGTTTATGGCCTGAAAGGATGCTAGAAGTCCAAAATAGGACTGATATGATGATCTAACTAGCTATTCAAGTACCAAGTGCTAGTTACAAATAAGGAATATGGATTAAAACATTGGCAGAATGCATATATAGCTAAGAAAAAAAAATTATGTAGAAGTAACACACCGCAAAGCTGGAAGATAACTTTTCTCTCCTTCTCATCCTTCCTCCTCCCGGGAAGGTGAGAATGAACTCCATGACTGAGCACTCCCAATTTCTGCAGTCTCACTTTCATCCACAGTACAAAGCAGGCATACTGCAGATACTTAAGAGTGGAGCCATGACTACTACCTAATTTCTTTTAGCCCTGCATCTGTGTAAGTCAGATCACCAAAATTCATATTAACCTAAAGAAAACTTCCATTTCTTTCACCACCTCCAGTATGTTTCATGGCAAAAAAATCTATTAGTTCTCATAGGAACTAGGTAATTATGAATCTATTTAAACTATTTTGAGGCTGAGATGTTCCACAACTGGCTTTAACCTAAAGAGGATCCCTTAGGTTAGAGAAATATCCTGGATTCAAACTTCAAGAAGCTTTAATACTGTAATCATCACTTCTAAAAAAAATTCTAAGGAGATTTACTAGAAGCAGACTGTATTGATATGATTCCACCCTCTGCACATTAATATGAAAAGTTGCTTCATTTTCAGGTTTAATGGGAAGACAGTACAATTACCCTGTAGCCTGGAATTTCTTAGGTCATTATTATAGTTATTATCATAGAAGACTAATAGAAAAGCAATGTATTTCTAATGTGCTTTAGTTACTATACAGGCAGTACAAAGGTGTGGGAGCACCATTCTGAATCACCTTACAACAGTTTTGTTCACTGAACTGTACAAAAAGTTTTCTCCAAAGATTAAACTCAATTGTAGAATTAATTTCCTTCAACAGTATTCATTATTTTTATTTGCTTTTATTGAAAATATATAAAATTTGGCATTTGTACCAAGAACTGGTTTCTAAGACTTAGCTTCATCTAATGAAGATTAAACACACTACACAGGACACCAATATTGTCCAAGGTTTCAGAATAATAAAAAAAATACTAAAAAAAAATTCTGACAGCTATGCTTTCTTGTAGTTTATTTTAAGAGAAAGAGGAAAGGATTTGAAAAAACTCATTCTCTGAGAGTTTTTCACCAGTGGACTCCCTTCTCAAGTACAATCTCCCACACTCAAGTAAAAACTCTTACTTTTATTTCAGTAACACCAAATGGTTTGTCAGACAAAGCAAATATGAAAAGAACAGTAAAGAATAGCAGGACAAACCTAGTATCAGGTAAGAACAGAACTGCAAAAAGTTAAGAGTTGCAGAGTAACCACCTGAAATTTCCAAGAGCACTAGAGACAATAAAAGCTACAACCTAAAGGAAGACATATCAAGTATTTCTGACTATTACACATAATTTATCTTTGCTGGAAATCAGAAGCTTATATCAAAAGTGAATGCACACCCTTGAAATAAAAATTAAGAACTCTGTTCTCTATTAATAAAGACACTGAAAAAAAATCTCCATAATTTACAGAAGACCAGAAAACACAGCAATCCCACTCACCTGTCTTCACTAAAACGTCGACCAACCAAAATTTTGTATTTGTCTGGAGGAAGACAAGCTGCTAGCAAAGGTACCGTCCTTAACACTCGACTTTCCTATAAAAAAGAAAAGTTACTTTTGAATAAGATCACGAAAGCTTCTATGAATTGTTAATGTTTCCATTTACTTTCAAGTTCTTTTGACTACAGACACAGAAAAAAACCTACCAGATAACATAAAAAAGATCTACAAGAAAAAATACCCAATTTTGATGCATTCAAATTGTATTGTTTTGATTGACAGTATTGAATTTGTCTTACCTAACTTATGATTATCAGCATAAATTTGAAGTAGGCTATCAGTATCAAAAACAACGAATCTTCACAGAATAATAAACAGTGGGCAAAAACCATCATTAGCATTAATGTAATACGTTGGGGAGCTAATACTGGAAAATGAAGGGAGGGCTTGATTTCCACTAACAGGTGCTAAAAATAAAAGCACTGGGTATATCAGAGCAGACAGTATGAAATACAAACATTTCCACTCAGCTGTGACTTCACAGTAACCAGGACAATGGCACCAACACTGCCACGAGTACTCCATCTTGTGCCATTCAGGCTGTGCTGACCAAGCATCTGCCTATATCTCTGTGCCACAGATGAGGAAGGCAACTGTCATGCCTGGGTGGGGAGCAAGGGCTCTTCAGATCTCAAAAAGCATTAGAGCGCGCTGTGTTGGAGCAGGGCTTCAGAAAGTGGAGGAAGAGGGAAGTACTGCTGGCTGAAGCAAACCATCTGCTTATCAAACCAAGCAATCTGTTTCTGTCCTTTATTTAACACAGCTAGGAACACACTAGTTTTTGCCTAGACAAGAAGTATTGCAAACTGAGCTTGAATATTTAGGAAGTCAAATTTTGTTTTCCCATCAAGGAAGAGAGAGCATAGATTTATCTTGCCTTTAATGAAGACAGAAAGCCAACATCAAAAACTGAATGAAACTTTCAATTTATTTATTTAACACAAGAGGAAGAAAGGAAGGTTACTAGCTGAATCTAGCAGGAGGCAAGACACTAGAGAGCAGGTGAGGATTACAAAAGCCCTAAACCCAGCAAGAAATGAGTTCTTACAATATTCTCAGCCTGAATGTGTCATGATTCAAACAATGAAAATCCAAAGATAAGTCCCTAAACCACAGGATTAATTAATGAAAACCCAGGGGGCGTTGGTCTGTCTTTAAATTTATGAGCCATATATCAACAATTCTGTATTTGTTAATACGTAAGGCCTCAATCCGCTCTCTCAGTTCTCTCTGGGCAGCTGTTACCTTCCACAAGTATCAATGTGCAGCTGCCTGCACCTCTCACATTTTCTTTCTACCAAAATGGTGTTAAATTCATTCTGTGAAGACTTTTATCACTGTTGCCCAAAACCTTTATTAATTTTGCTTTTTCTGATCC